GAAAAAGATGCTTAACAGCTTGCTTGAATTGATTGCTTTGTTTCGTTAAAACTGATATTCAATCTCTTGTTTCAAAGTTTCAAGCAAAACTGTTTTTAAAGAGAATTTTCAAATCTGTCGCATTAATTAATCTGTTGAAAGTTTGTTTTAATCTGTTGAAATAGCCGTTATAATCTGTTAAAAATCCTTTCAACCCATTAATGCGTTCTTGCTTCTTTAACAGAATCGTTTTAGCTGATACGACCACTTTTATATCAGCTTAAAACATTTTACAAACTTTTTCTAAGTATAAAACAATCGATTGAATCACGTATTAATCGATTGATTTGTTTAAAAACCTTCTTATAAAACTTTCCAAGTTATTTTAGCTGATACAAAGAAGTTTTAATCGATTAAAAACCTGCACAGAATTTTTCTAAGTTGTTTTAATCGGTTGAAATACGTTTTAATCGATTGAAACTCTGTACAAAAATTTTCTAAGTTATTTTAATCGATTGAAATGCGTTTTAATCGATTGAAATAAGTCTGATCGGTCATAATTCAATTCTGATCGATCATAACCAACTCTGATCGGTCATAATTTCATTCTGATCGATCATCCTGACTTCCAAAGTGGTTTTAATCGATTAAAACGTGTTTTAATCGATTAAAATAAATCTGATCGCTCATTTTTAATGTCTGATCGATTATATTTCATTCTGACCTGTCATATTCGAATTCTAATCGGTCATAAAGGGTTTTAATCGATTAAAAGAAGTTTGTATCGATTAAAATACTGTAAAAACACTTCTTTACGCATTCTAAGTGATTTTAATTGTTTCCTTTAAAACTATATTAGTTAAAAACATTGTTAAGAAAGTTCTTTGTCAAAATGCTTTTGTTTTTTATTTGTTTAAAACTATTTTTGAGGCATTTTGCAAAATGAATGAAGGAGCTTCATGCAGTGGAAAAGGTAAAGTGGTTTTACCTAAGCTTTCTGATAAGACACACTAAGTCTTCAGCTCCATTCTTCTGAGTGACTTGTTTGACTGTTGCAGAGTTGACCTTTGACTTTATCTTTGACTTCATCAAATCACTGAGATCTTTGCTAGGATCACTTTCAGATAAGACTTACTTGAATCTCCCCCCTAAAGAATTGCTCATGAAAATTTCTTTCCAGCTGCAACCAATTATATATTGAGTTAGGTGGCAACGACGTAAACCAAGTGAAAGCATTCTTTGTTAATGAACTAGGAAAGTATTTCATTTTTAATTCCTCACTCATCGCTAGGTCCCCACATTCGATTTGATATCGCGCCACATGCTCGATAGTGGATTCACCAATTTCTCCAGCAAATTTGGTGAATTTGGGTATTTTGTATCATCGAGGTAATTCTGTCTCGAGAATCATATTTGGAAAAGGAGAAACAAAGTACAGTTGATTGGGTGGTCTTAATTCCACTCCTTGAGGATTCATCATTTGTCCCAACATGTGATTGTACTGCATATTATTTTGATTATACATATTTTGAAATCCCTCATTTAAATTTCCATAAGTATCATTCCTCACATGCTGATATTCATTCCCCACATGCTGATGTTGATCATTGTTTCGATTTCTCCTTAATAAATAAAGGGGATTGATATTACCGTTTTGGTTAATATTCTGATTGACATTATTTTCGACCCTTGTTTGTCGAGGTATTGTCAATGCATCCCCGATACGTGTCATTTGGTCTGTCAATATCTCAAAACTAGTAGTAGTGTTTTGAAGTAATGGGTTTAGTACTGTAGTCAACTGTTGTGATAACATGTTAACTATCTCGAAATTGCTTTCATCCATTTGTTGTCGAAGTACTCCTAATGAATTACTGGAAATTCCAGTACTAGCATTTTCGATAGTCTCAAAATTGGATCGATGATAATCTCTATCGAATGTATATCTCCTGTGATCCAGGTTTGCTCTGTGATCTAGGTTTGATATTGGAGGCGTCTATTGTGTTCCTAAATTCTGCGCATTCCCTGAATTCTGGGGCGGTACTAAATTTTGAGACACCCCTAAATTTGAGGAAACTCCAAAATTTTGAGGCATACTTAAGGTTTGAAATGTTCCTAAGTTTTTGGGCATTCCTAGGTTAAATCTCGTACTTCGTTGTATTGAAGAAGTATCAGCCCCATTCATATTATTAAACGAAAAACCAGGCGGCCTTACACTCATATGTGGACCTGCATATGTTGTTACGGGGTTTCCCGTAGTTTGTATATTGTTTGACATTACAGTACTAGACCCTAACTAAGTGTTTGCTAATGTGCCTGAGTTTTGTTCAGCACTCACAAGTATCGACGTACTCACAGTTGTCGATATTACGGACATGTTCTCATTGTGAACTTGCCCCCTAGTGTTTGGTGAATGTGAACTATTTAGAATCTCACTGTTATTCTGATTATTTGGTGGATTTTGACTCATTCTTATTACTCGCTCACTCCTTAATCTCATACACTTTCGAACTAGCCAATTGTTTGTGTTTTTCGACACAACACCCCTACCTAGTGCGCCAATTTGTTTCTGGTGAAAATTTTGGTTGTTTTCGATGTTCTAGAGACTTAGGTTCTAACCAAATTTAAACCACGCAAATTCTTTTTATTTAGGCTAGCAAACAGTTTTTCAATCAAAACGTGTATGTAAATCGAAAATGCCACAGTATCGAGCCAAATGAAAAATAAAGCATACATATTAAAAATGCGGAAAATGCAACATAGCATACGTATCGAAATCAAAAGTACCCTTTTTGTATTTTTTTTTATATATATTAAAAGACTCGAGCAAATGAAATTTAACGTAAAGTGACGCATAAAATTAAATTGCACTAAGAGTAAATGACATGAATTAAAGTGTGCATAAAAGTAATCGACAATACTGGAAAGTAAATTAAACGTGCGAGTAAATAAATTACTGAGAAAGTAAAGAAAGCATTAAATGCAGAATCTTAAACTGGCAAAAATGTAAGTGCAAAATCTTTAAATTGCATAAGTGTAAATGCAGAATATTTAAGTTGCATAAGTGTAAATGACGAGGAATTAGTAAAAGACAAGTATGTAAATGCATAATCTTAAATTGTATTAAAAGTAAAGTACCAGGGAAAGTAAAGAAAGCAGTAACAAAACTCAATGAAAATGGAAATCCATATTGCCAGAAACTTCATGATTTGTCGCTCTCCAGTAGACTTTTCACTTGTGTTTCTGTTGTATCTGTCAATTTCCGCTTCTTCTTCAAGCTTCGTTCTATTTATAGGAATCCTTCAATGTAACCTCCTAAGCGCAGTTAAAAAACTGTCGCCACGTTCCATGTGCACGTTCCTTGATTTTTACTTTAGCTTATGGTTTAGAAAACTGCTTCCACGTTCCATGTGCATTTTAAATGTTCCTCGATTTCTAACCTTAGCCACGATGAAAAAGTCACTCCTCATGTTCCATATGCATAATAACCGTTTTCCTCGATCTCGATTCCAGTTATCGAGTTCGATTTCCCTTAACCTTGACTTTACACTATACTTTATCATTACTCTCATCGATTTGTTTCTCTCTTTTCTGGTTCTCGATTTTCATTCTCGATTTGTATGTTCATACTATCTCGTGGTCACCGAGTGTCTTCCAACCATCTTTCTGATTTATCAACTTTTTAATCAATCATATAATCTTCGATTTTCTCTCCTCTGTTTTTCGATCCTTGTATCGATTTTTCACTAACTGTATCTAAATTAGAATCTAGGGTAGACCATCCTTGACTTTCTAAAGTAAAAGAGAGAATGAGAAGAAAAAAAAAAAGTGACCATATTCATGTGCATGTAAACAAAAGTGTTGGTGAAAATTGAAGGTTGAAATCATGGGAATCTAAGAAAATCTAGGATCTGGAAATTGCTAGAGACAGTAAATAAATAACAAAAACAATTTGGTCAACTTTCTCCTCAAAGTCAACGTTGGTTAATACTCAATCATGAAGATGAGGTGGAAGGAATAATGATAAGTTACAATATGGATCATCCAATAATTTAGTGACACGTGGCAAAATGAACTGACATGATTATCCTTCTTATAAAATAATAACTTACTTAAATATATCAATAATAATAATAGAATTATTATTGTAATTATAACAAAATGTTAAATAGATGTATTTTATGAAAGGATTAGTTTTATATCATTAATCTTAACACAGTGTTTAATTAATGTTAAGTTTTACAAAATCAATTTTATTTAGGGTTAATGCCAAAACTCCAATTTTATTCAATAATCAACCTTAGGTTGAAATCAAAGTAGTATTTATAAATTAAAGGTATTATTATGTACTACACCATCAAAATTAATACGAATTACGTATTTTATTTACAATATTTTTATCGGTTGTAGTTGGACAGAGATTAATTATAATTCTAAATAATTTTCAATTCTAAAATTTTCAGTTAATTAATCTAAATTCTTTTTAAAAACATCTCTATAACCAATGAGAATGAATTGGATTTCTACTTATCACCATAAATTTTTTAATGAAAAACTAAAATCAAAATATTTCTTGTTAAATACTAAAAACCAAGCTCAAATATTTATTTATTAGAAACAAAAATGTTATTTAAACCTTATGATGTTTTTATCATTTATAAAAATGATGATGATAAATTGGTCTCAGTGACCATGAATGAATCACATTTTTTTCACAGCAATCAAACGTTCTCACGTGAATGAACCTGTTTCAAACTAAAATTATACAGTAAACAAAGATATACCCAAATGAGTGGCAATTTCTTTGGAAACAACACATCGTTCCTTCCACCGATATGTAACACGGTTTGCAGGAAAATTAGAACACAACCAGAGTTCAGTTCAGTTCATGAAGATGGATGCAACTCATGCAAATTGCACATGTAGATCGATACAAATCATGTTCATCAAGTTGCATAAATAGGTTAGTTGGACTAGAAGATCCAAACTACATAAAGAGCAAAATTCTGAATGATATCTTATATTTACCTTCCATTAGGCTCAGCAATCAGGGGTATTCTGCATCCTACTTGTTGTTCCATACACTTCACTACCCTTTTGAGCTTTGCATTCCATTGCTCAACCAACTTCTGCTCCTTGCTTTCTGCATCTCTCCTCAACCCTGCTAACTGTTCTCTATATTCTGCTTCTATCCTATCCAAAGCAGCATTCTGTTCTTCCCCTAGGGCCTTAATCTTAGCTTCAATCTCCTCCATTTTTTCCCTCCTTCTACTTGCCTTCTCTGCCTCCAACTGCAGCTCCACCCTTCTCAATCGCCATGTGGCCTCCTTCCGATGCGCCACCATAGCATGATGCCCTTCTTCTAACTCCTTACAGCACTCTATTAACTCTGACACTACCATGTTATCACCAAGAGGAGTTTTTACATTCAACCAAGGGGGAGGAGGTGCTGTTGAGGGGGAGAGACTTAGTGTCACAGAAGGGGAAGGCGGCCTAGTTGCTGGTGAGGGATTGGTGGTGCTAGAATTTGAAAGCCAAGGAAGAAGCAATGCTGCTGCTGATGATGCAGATGCAGATGCAGGTGCAGGAGCAGTTGCAGATGCATCTGTGTGGATAAAGGGTCCAGTTGAAGCAGCCATAATGTATGATGATTGTGAAGGGTGTTCTTTCACAAGCTTCTCAGCAAAAGTCTCTAGAATATGATCATATCTGGTGTCATCAACTGGGCCAATTGCTTTGTTAATCTCTTGTTTCTTCCTTTGTTGCTTCTCTTTAAAAACTTCCCACCACTTTCCTAACCTCTTAGCAGTTCTACCTGGAACTTCTGCAGCAATTTTCTTCCACTTGTTGCCGTGTTTCTCTTGAAGCCGGATAACAAGTCGCTGCTCTTCCTCTGTTAGAGACCCTTTCTTGATGCCAGGCTTGAGGTAGTTCTTCCACCTTTCTAAGCATGATTTTGCATCCCTGTTGAGATGCGTGTTCATGCGCTGAGACACAAGATTCCATTCCCTAGGACCATACTCTCTCACATAAGCACACAGCAATTCATCCTCTTCAGCCTTCCAACGTTGTCTTTCCTTCATTTCCAAGTGCAAATCCCACAGCCCATTTCTTCAATCCTGAACTCTTCATTATTGTATCTGCATAATCCATGACAAAATCAGATTTAGTTTTCACTAACTCTAGAACTTATAGTTGATTCATGAACTAGTTAAAAGATAAGTAATATTAAAAACTTATTGACACAATAATAATTCATCATTACATAATAAAATAAAATAACAAAAACAAAGAGCAATAGTACTAAATTGTAGATAAAAGCCTAAAGTTATTGAAGTCATAACATTTTAAAAACGAGTTAATTGTTTCAAATAACGAGTCATGGCAAAATACACTATGATTATACGGTCGATGGTGACAAAATTTAAAATTGATTTAAAATTCATTGACTCGCTTCTTCGAGTTTATTAATTTTAGTTTATAAAGTAAAACAGTTTAATAGAAAGTTAATTTGCTTATCTATCTAGAATTGTAAAATCATGAGACTTTAGAGTTTGATAACCATGAATTCCTTTGAAACCGTGTCACCATGAAGCAAGATTATCCTCACATCATCTCATGACAATGCCATGACTGGCCTACTGGATCCGCACTAAGAATAGAACACTTAACTCATTGGGGAATTCAGCTACCAAAAAACGAGAAATGCAATTAATCCACCACATTATCAATAGTATGCATATAAAGCATCCATAATCTACCAACCAAAGAAACATAAAGTAAGACAGCATCATCTTTTACTGCCTTTAAGAAATGCCAATTTTTATTGCTAAAACCCTATGAGAGACACTTAGAGATAGAGTGTAAAAAGTTGAAAGCAGTTTAAAATAATGACTATCTAGTCAAAGATCTTCCAGAAAAAATATTTAATTGGCACACTACTGAATTAAAAATGGCTATAACAAACCTTTCCAAACCTGAATAATTGTTCAGGCCCTTTAATATATAGTTTTCCGAATCAGTAATTATGATATAAGGGTAGTTGACAAAAACAATCACATCACTCAATAAAACAAAATTATCCTCCTTATCTTCTATTCCAAAATAGAATAATAGAATCTAAATCTGATGTGACAAAAATACACTACTTAAATTTTATTGAATTACATGAATTTCAGTATATCATTAGCATTTGGATCTAGTAGATTCTCAACTGAAATAGGACATTAAAATAAGAACTGATTTATTTCATTCGAGAATCAGTTATACAAAGAAAACCAAGCATAAATGCATAGCAAAAGATTCAGTACATCCCACATGGTAAATAACACTTGAACCGGAAGGATAAAGTAGAACAAAAGAAAATGTAACCATGTCCAACAAATAATGATAGTAGTGTATAAAAAAATAATATTCAATAGAGAGCAAAAGCCTTAAACATTTTAAAATATTAAAAAAAAAAAAAAAAAAACTACTGCCTGTATTTCAAGAATGATAGATTTAAGAATTATTCTAGAGACAAAAACACGAATCAACAACAAACAAAAGATAAGTAAGCCTAAGGAACAATGAGCAAAACAACACCGAAACATTCCATTTTCTTCATTAGAAAACTTCGACGATCAAAGTCCTTAAACAACATCAAAAGACAAAAGCGCAAAGAACAAAACTTGAGATTTCACCAAAAGTGAGTATGCACAGAGAGACAGAAAAAGAAAGAAAAGAACAGTGCTTCACAACCCACCATCCTAAAGCCCTGAACACAAAGAAAAACTCATTCATCCATGGTTGTTGAGAAATGTGGTGAAAATGTAAAAAAGAAGAAGGTGGTGATGTTGCTCCCTAACTACCTAGCAGCATGGTTCATTGTTGAAGGAGGGTCCATAGTTGGGTAACTGGAAGAAAGAGAGATGGTAAAGGAGGAAACAGGTATGTCATGATCCTTGTAGAGAGATAAAATATACTGTGGGGTGGGGTGGGGTGTAGGGTAAAGACAGGGCACTGTGAGAGAAAGATGGAATTGGACAAGACAAGGGAAGAGAGGCGACAGGGTCACAAGAGAGAAAAAAAGAGGAAAAAAAGCATTAATGGAGCAGCGTCGTACATTGGTTTCAGCGCTTCAAAATGCCACACTCCCTCGAAAACTCCTTTCAAAATTATTCAAGCTGCTCTCACTCGCCCTCCTCCAACTCTTCTCCAATTTACTTCTCTTCCCTTGACGCTCTATCTAATAGTAAATCTTAATTATAATTAAAATTTTAGAATTACGTGACTTTACTAAATTTACTAATTTTAAATTTAATTTTTCATAATTATTTTTTATTATATTAATGCTTTTTAGATTTTTCTTATATAAACTATATTTTTATATAATCTATATCTTCGTGCCATGCTATATTTCTTGCACAATATAGATCATTAAGCAATGTTGGTGGGCTTTTTCTCCGTTTTTACCTAAATAAATTGTTCTTTTTCGTGCTAATAACTGGATGTTATTAAATCGATTCAAAATATGAGTTTACATTTAAAGAGGTTATTGAATTTAATAAAATAATATTTTAATAATATAATAAATTTATTAATAATTATTAAAAAAATAAATTAAAAATTATTATTAGAATTAATATCATTTATAGTAAAAATTATAAATGTAAAATATATAGAAAAATAAAAGACAAATAATAATTAAAATAAAATAAAAATATTATCAAATAATTATTATTTAAAATTAATATAAATAAAATACATAAATAAAAAATAATATATATATATATATATTATAAAAAAAATTATATTTAAAAAATAATTTATCTTTATTTTTTTTTCAAAATTGGATCAAAATATTTAACTAATTTTCAGAATTTTATTGATTTTATATTAATTTAACTAAAAATTAATTATTTAAAAATAATAGATCAATTTATATAACCATTTACATAGATCTAATCCTATTTTAAAAAGAATGACTCATAAATTATTCCATCTTTGATAGGTATCTTTCTATTCAAAATTTGATGGTGAAGGTAATTGAAAGAAAATTTTAACTTACAATTACTGTATAAGACATTAATTGATGAGATCAAGCTGATAATATTACATATTGGGATGCTTTTTTCAAAGAGATGTTTTTTTTTTTTTCAAAGAGGTGAAAGATCTGAAAGTAGTATTTTGTTTACATGAGAAAAAACTACAACTTCCTAGATTATAAGTGTATTATGGATCTAATTAATTACCAAATAAAATAATTTATAAAATATACCCACCTTTAAATTCATATAAGCGTTCCAGAAGGTGTTGTGGTGGATAAATTACCGAAAAAAGAATATGAATTTCCTTAACAAGTAAAGGTTAAGATTTACAAGAGTAAAACTTCCCCCTTTTTTTATTCTAGGGATAGTTTTTCCCCTCTTTTTGTCTTATCCTTGAAAATGTTTTTTTTTTTTTCTTAAAGAACCTGTTTTAATAGAGATTTAATTCTTTGTGGTTTATAGATTTTGGGTTGTAGGGATAAGGCCTATAAAGAAATTTTGTGGTGAAATGATGGTGAAAAAGACAATCATTTTCTTTTATATCCTCTTTCACTATCATTCAATGAGCCCCTAATCTTTCTCAACTTCTCATCCAATGTCATTCAATTCTCCCTTCTTTCATGATCATTTGTGATTTTTTTTACACTAACCACCCTTTTTATTTTATTTTCTTTGTTTGAGTATGAGTGAGGATGTTATTTTGGTTTTCTTTGTTTGAGTATGAGTGAGGATGTTATTTTGGTTAAGTGTAACTAGGTTTTATTGATTTTTTTTTCTTTTTAAGTTTGCTTAACTTTTTAAATAATCTAAAACTTTGTATTAAAAAAAATATACATACTTGTTTAATAATTAGAATGTCAACTTTTTCTTCATTATTGTTCTTTTTTGTTTCTTTATATATATATATATATATATATATATATATATATATATATATATATATTTACAAATTATTATAATTTTACATATATGGTAACAGAATTCTCATTATGTTATAAATATGATATAAATAATATTGCTTCTCTTCCATCAGAATTAACAATTTTTTTAACATTCTCTATTTGATAAAAATAAGATGAATAATTTCGAAAAAAAAAACTATAATCAAGAACCAGTGAAGAACCCCTCATGAAAAAAAAAACAGTGCAATAAATATATTTCAACTAATATTTTTCATTTTAATGTGATTTAATTATTTCTATTTAATCAAAATTACTTTTAATACAAATTAATACATATAAAAGATTTTACATAAGTATTCATTAGTTTCTTATTTTTTTCTCATAAAATATAATAATTAAATATATTAACTAAAATATATGTTTAAGGACTATTATTTTGACCATTATTAGACCATTTGGTTGCGTATAAAAGTTTTAATTTATTCTTAAAATTTAAATAAGTTAAAATAAAATTATTAAAAAAATTTAACATCCTATAAATATTTTTTTATTTTATTTCAAATAAGTTCTTATATATTATCATGAAAAAGTAATTTAATCTTAATATATATATATATATATATATATATATATATATATATATATATAAGAACTAAATTACATTTTCTCCCTAATATATAATAATTCATTTAAAAGAAAAGATAAATATAAAAGATGGTATTGTTTATTTATTTATTTATTAATATTCAATTACTAACAAGAAAACATATACACTTTAATGAAAAAAAAAAAAAAAAGCATTCAAGCGATTTTAAATAATTGAGCGACAGTATTTGATCACACGCTTATCTGGGACCTGGACCTTAGAGCATCTGATGTGTTTGGTTGTTTTGCTTGGGCAAGCATCTGAACTACCTTTCACACGGTTTGTTGTTACTCCAGGTTTCCCCCAAAACTCATCATGGTATGATCACAAAATTTCACAACATAAAAAGTTGATTTTGTTTCTGAAATATAAAATCAATTGTCAATCCTTGGTGCATGTTGATTATGGAGAATCAATAACTTCTTGGAAGAAGAAACAGCAAAGATAAACTCTTTGATAAGCTTAGGATTAGATTCTTAAAAGCGTTTGTAGAAAAGTTCTCTAAATGTTTTCTACTCTAATGCAAAATTCAGCTAATGCTTACCCATAAAGAGACTATTCGTAGCCTTACATAATGAAGCCTCATAATAAAAAGCAAGGGGCATTTTAAATTTATAACCTTTAAATAGAAAGGACTAAGTGGAATAACAATAACAATGTCAATGGGTCATTTATGGCGGCTTGGACCGTGCATTAAAAAGGATCAAAGCTTCTCCGTTCAGGTAATAATGGATAAATACCATTTTCCCCCACCATCAAGAAACTACAAGCTTTATTTTAGTATCAAACCTCAAGATCCCTTAAAAAAATCAAATGCTGAGATGCGAAAACAGAATGGTCTAAAATGATAGATCATAAACACATCATTCCCATCTAAACTACAAAATCACAATCATGCTCAGATCAGTATCAGTACAATTAATTTGTGAAAAGGAAATAACTTGGGCAACTATTTATCCTTGTCTAGCACAACAAAATTAAGCACCAGACTGTCACTGTAAAACTAGAAAAGCAAATCATATGACCCTTCCTCTCAAACAAAATTGAAAGTAAAAATGCAATGCATAGAACGAAACTAGAGGATTTTTAAGACCACACCTGAATTCTGTGTCTTCCCATTGCTCTTAACCCCGCAAACAAACACTGCTGAACTGTAGCTATTAGAAATTCCTCTTATCAAAAATCTAAATTCTCTGAACAATATCTGGCCATTGGCACAATTATGCTCTTGGCCAAACAAAGAGCCTAACTGAGAGAAGTCAATTTGGCTGTGATTGATAAATGAACTCCATAATAAAAACTGAAAGAACTACAATTTCCTTGATATAAACCATGATGAAATCGCAAAGGAAATATTGTCCATATTTCTAGGTCATTAGGTCAAACAATGGAAGATGAGACCAAATTTGAAAACTTTCTGCAGGATGTGTGCTGCCCAGAATCCTTTTCTGTGAATCAAGCTCCAACCGGAGTATATGACCTTTTTAACTTTCCATTTACAAGAATATCATATGTAGTGTCATCAGGCACAAGACCTTTATCAAGCATCTCGTCATGCAGCCTAAAAGCCTCTTCTAGATTCCCCTCCTTAAAATGTCCAGCAATTAAAGTGTTATAAAGAAGAACAGTAGGAATTAAGTTATTCCCATCTATTTCCTTTAGAATCTTGCCCGCATTTTCTAACTGTCCATGGTTACAGAGTCCATTTATCAGAACGGTGTACATGAAGATATCAGGCACAATACCCCTGGAAAGCATCTCTGAGTAAAGATCTAAAGCAAAACTTAGTTTACCCTCTTTTAAAAGTCCACCAATCAGTGAGGTGTATATTTGTAAATCACATGGAATCTTATTATCTGTCATTTCCTTGTGCAAGTTAAGTGCTGCTTCCATATTATTCAAATTTTTGAAGCCACTAATCATGCTGTTATAAACAGTTGTATTTGGAGTCAAACCAACCTCGAAAAGTTCAGAGAAGAATTTGCTTGCATTTTCCATGTCTTGCACTTTGCAGAAACCATCAATGAGAACACTATATGCATTAATATCCAGATCCAAACCCATGCTTTTCATATCATCATACATTTTCAAAGCAAGATCAATCTTATTACTTTTGCAGAATCCATTAATCAAACTAGTAAAAGTGATGACAGTTGGCAAAATTCCACTTTCACACATCTCCCGAAAGGTAGAGTGTGCGGAATCAATTGCACCTTCCTTGACAAATCCATTTATGATGCAATTATAAGTCATGGATGTGGGAATAAAACCCTGCTTGATAAAAGTGTTCAACTTATCCTTTGTCTCAGACACTCGGCCACCTCTACACAAGCCATTTATAATGGTGTTAAATGTGTAGTCTGTAGGCACAATATCTGCAGCCACCATTTGATCAAACACATTAAAAGCACGCTCACAATCACCCTTTATAAAATATCCGTTTATCAAAATTGTGTATGTGATAGCATTCGGTTTTAAGCCACTTTTAATAATATCACTCATCACATTAAATGCGTCATCCATGCAACCAGTTTTGCAGTGACCTAGTATCATGTGGTTGTAAGAAACTAGTGAAGGCGTAATACCCTTACCAATCATTTTGTCCCACAAATTGCTACCCTCACTAACCTTGCCCAATTCACAGAGCCACAATAAAACAATGTTATACGTAACAACACTAGCAATTCCATTTTCAACTGCTTCATCAAGCAATTTATATGCATTTTCTAGCAAGTTCTGTTTAAGGAATCCTTTCAACAGAAAATTTACAATAAAGACAGTGGGTTGGAGGCCCATGAGTTTCATTCTGGTGTAAAGTTCATTTGCCTTCTCCACATTCCCAATCTTAGAACACCAATCTATCAAAACCGAGAAAATAGCCACATTGGGAGTAACACCAGCCTCAACAACCTCATCAAACATCCACAATGCACTATTCACATCCCCTAGCATACAATGCCCTTTAATCAAGCTCGTCGCAACAACTACATTCACAGGGAGACCGCTACTTACCATTTCATCCTTGAGCCTCAACGCCTCTACCAAATTCCCCTGCCTGACACATGCACCAATCACAGCCACATATGTACCCTCAGATGGCACCCACCCCAAATCCCTCATCTCCTTCAACAGCTTACACGCCAAATTCAAGTCCGCCACCCGACAAACTGCCTGAATAACAATACTATACGCAGCCGCGTCAAGCTTCAACCCTCTACCCATTGCCTCTTCGAAATACTTCCAAGCCTCCGCAAACTTCCCAGCCTTCAAACACGCACGCATTAAAACATGCAGGGTATAGGAATCGCCATAAATATCTCTCTCAACCATTTCAACATACAACTGGCGCACATCATGAACCATGTTTCTCCTAACCATTCCAGTCAAAAGCATGTTCACAATTGGAACCCAAGGAAGCATACCGTGCGCTAACATTGTTCTAAAGCACTCAACAGCGTCCGTGATCTTATTAGCTCTAACATAACTATTAAACACATAATTGAAAACCCTTGAATCAGATATATCAAAACCGTACCTTCCTGCATACTCCAACAAGAGTTCCACCAGCACCTTCGCAGCAGGAGCTGAATTCCCAAGCACATAGTTATTGAGCAAATACTTGGCATCTACATGAGTGTCGGGCCTCGAAGCGAGAATCTGAAGCAATAAGCATAAAACGTCAACGGTTTTCACAAACCCTCGTTTCCTCTCTACTTGTTTGAAGAACATCAACGCCGATCTGGGGTCGGCTTTGTGGAGCAAGAGGGTGTCCAAGACTTCATTTTGAGACGGAATCCAAGGGTGCTCAGGGTATGGAGCTCCCGGGGGGATTTTCTCTGAAGAATCGGAGGTTGAAGCGATTATCTCGGGAAAATGATCATAGTCTGTGGGAAGGAGGGAGCTTGAGAAGAGTTGCGATAAAGGGCGAAGATTCTTCGGAGGGATTGAGGAAACGATGTTCGTCTTCAGAAACCTCGTTCGCATTGTTGAGAGAGAATGGCAACAACTAGAGAATTCAAACTTCAAAAGTTTCAGTAAAACAAACAAGTTTTCACAGTTTACATCAAATTCGGCTGAAAATTCTTCTACACAGCTCCTACTTCCAGAGAAAGTGGTTGAGTTTATGGTGGTGTGTGTGAATAACAGTGTTTTAAATACTAATGAAACACTATGAGAGAGGAATAAAATAAGGGTTTGTCTTATAGCTTTGTATTTTAATTTTTAAAAATATTTTTTTTTCATAAAATAATGGTTTATTTTATTTAGTTCTATATTTTAAAATTTTAAAATACTTCATAAAAAAACTGTTTTTGAGAATAAATTAAATTAATAAGTTTAACAATTCTTTTAAGAATAAGAAAATTAAAAAAAAAAAATTGTTTGACAAAATTATTTTCAAAAATATTTCAAAATGAGTTTAAATTCATGTGGTTGTAGTTTTTTTTTTATTGTTTGCTTTTAATAAATAAATGTAATATTAGTTTTTAAAATATGAATAAGAGATATTTTTGTTTCCGATTATGAAAAAAATAAAATCTATAGAAATGAGAATTTAAAAAATAACAAATATACAATAAAATTTAAGTTAATCGTGAATTTAAAATTTTTAGTGTTGTAGTATCACTATATATAAATTGGATTTGATTGATCATTATGGTATTCCTACATTTAATTTGTACTATGACCTTTATACACTTCATTTCAATTGTAATTTTATATGAGAATAATTGTCAGTTGTATTATTAGGTAATTTAAATGTATTTATAAATAAAAAAATTATCATTATTATTAAACTAAATAAATATTTATTAAATTATTATTATTGTTTAATTTATAAAACTAAAAGAAGAAAAAAATATTAATTTTCTCTTAAAAATAATAATTATTATTATATATATATATATAAAGGTAAGATTTAACTTTATAAAATCTTATCCTAAAAATAATCATTAGCCATTTAATAAGGGAATTAAATAAAAAAAATATATGTGACTATAAATAGAAGTTATATAAAATAAAAAGTTGAGAGAAAAGAGAAAGAAGAGTAAGAAAGAATGAGAGGGAGGCAAAGAAAAAAAAAAAAATATATATATATATATATATATATATATATATTAACGTATTTTAATAATTTTAAAGTTTTGTAATTTATATTAATTAATATATAATTTTGGTCTCCAAATTTAATGATTATGAAATAAATATATTTGTATATTTACAAAATTGATCACTCATTCTTTCTTCTTTTTTTATCTTTTTATATTTATTTATTATTTATTAATAATATATTATTTGACTCTTCAATATTAAGGATCAAGATCTATCACAGTATATAAATAACTTCTATCATATACAATTATTAAGGTAGGAGAAAAAGATATTTATCATTATTTTTCTTTATTTTTACTTATGGTTATGTAGTGAAATGTCCTTAACGTTATTCTATTCATTCATTTATATCTTATTTACTTTCAGTTATGCACTAGTTGTGTGTTATATTTATTTACTTTATTTTTTATCATGTACTCGTCTTATTTTAATTATATTTAATTATTTATTGGTGTTTATATTTGTATTTATCTCAAATTACGTATTGGTATTACTTTATATTTATTCATTTTATTCATTTCTAATTATGTATTGGTCTTATTTCATATTTATTTATTTATTTGTCTCTAGTTATGTACTGGTCATACTTTATTTATTTTCAATTATGCACTTGTCTTATTTATTTCATCTCCAATTGTTTATTGGTTCCTGTTTATTAATTTATATTTATATTATTTAATTATTTTTAAATAATAATATTTATTTATGAAAATTTGATGATATTGTAAATAGAGGTTGGACCTTGGGGATTGAAATAAATAAATATCACTTGAGAGTATGATTATAATCGGGTTCATTTACCCTAACTAGTCACCACAAATTTAATTCAAATCTTCAAAATACTGAATAAATGAAATATATGAGGAAGTTGAAAATTATATTTTATATATTATTATAAAATTGTATTATTTTAAATAATAATTGTTCTCACTTCCCTATAGTTATTTCTTGTGCAAGTTACAACTAAAATATCAACATAAATAGATGGAGACATCAAGATGGAAGACACGTATCATTGATAAATCAACCATTGTTAGAAGAAAACTTTTGTCAATTTTAATAATTGTTTCTAATATAGAAATAATGAAACTTGTAAAGTTCATATCTTTGTACATATAAATATATAAACATTTACTTTATGTCTTACTTTGGAAAATAATCATCTTAAATTAACAAAAAAAAAGAATGTCACATTAGATGGTATTAGAGTAATGTTTCATGTGTGACCTATGAAATGAGTCTATCATGAGATCTTATGAATCCTAACTTGTATAATTCTAGATGATAAATAATAGGAGGAACAATAAGTTGACAAAAGCAGTACAAGTTATCCTAGACATGACTGTTGCATTATTAAGGAACCAAAGACCTGAAGGAACCAATCAATCACAAAGTTTAGTTCAATTTAGGAGAAACAAACACCTGTAATTTTCTGAAGGTTATAACCCAGAAAAAGCTGAATTATAGATTAAAAAATTAGAAAAAATATTTCAAGTTATAAATTGTCCTAACAACCAAAAAGTGAATTACGTTGTGTTTATGTTAGTAGGAGAAGTTGAATATTTGTGGGACAAGTACTTAGGAGATTATTAGAAGGCGGGAGAATAATCATTAATTGGGAGGTGTTCGGAACAAAATTTTTAGAAAAATATTAACTAATGTGAGGAAAGAAAAAAAATAGAGTTTATGCAATTGAAGCAAAAAGGTATGATAATAAGAGAATATGTTTCTAAGTTTGAAGAGTTAGGAAAATACTCTGCATTTTTTTATCATCCTAAGAATGAAGTGTATAAAATTTAAGAATGGACTTAGGTCTGAATTGATAAAAATAATACGAATACTAGAATTTTTTTTATTTTCCTACTCTTATTCACCATTGTAGATTCTTGGAGGATTTTGAAAATCATCAAAATAATAAACCAAAATATTTTGGACCCTAACAAAATAGAAGGAGACAAAATAAAGGAAAATCCTACAACCATCCCCAATGGAGATCCCAACCCAGTCAACTTTCTGCAGGAAATTTTAATAAACTTGTAAATCATCGTCTCAAGTTTTTTAAGTGTGGACATAATCATTATGTTAAAGATTGTCATCTTAAAGGACCTATCGATTTCAAGTGTGAAAAACTTGGTCATAAGTTCTTTGAATATCGACAACAAAAACAAAATTCTAATCATTTTGCACCAAAAATAATACCTCTGACAACAGGAAGAGTGTATATCATGGCTGAAACTGAAGTCTCTCAAAATAATAATTTGATTCAAGGTATGTGTTTCATTAAAGGTAAAACTTCAAATGTAATGTATGATTCAGACGCAACTCATTCATCCATTTCCAATGATTGTGTTTAACACCTTGAATTGTCAACTTCTTTTCTAGACATATTAGTTTGATTATTTCAACTCCTACAAGTAAATCTGTAATTACCAATAAAATTTGTTTAGATTGTCCTTTGTTAAATAGGAAATTTTTTATAAATTTAATTTATCTCAATTAGATGTAATCTTAGGTATGAACTAATTATCTTCCAATCAAGTCATTCTTAATTATGCAGAAAAATTAGTAATGTTTTCAAATTCTAAGGATCTTTTGAATTCTTCTGCCAACTCAGTAAGTGAGCCTTTGAAGAACAAAGTTTAAGAATATTTGTTATTATCTTCTATGAGAATAAAGGAGGAAATCAATTTCAAATATTCAGTAGTTATTCAAAATTTTTCCTAAAAAGTTTTTCCTAATGATATTCTTGGTTTACCACCCAACATAAATACTGAATTTTCAATAGATTTGATACCTGGAACTTAACCAATTTTTATAGCACCATATAAGATGTAACATTTTTGTTAGACAAATGACATCTAGAGGGGGATGAATAGATGCACAAATTAAAATAGATGTCAAATTAAAAATTTATTTGTGAGTCAATAATTTGTTTGAACATAGATAAAGCAGAAGCGATAATATAATCAGGAAAAGAGAAAAAGATAAGGGAAAGAGAAGAGCACACAGATATTTATACTGGTTTGGGTATAACCAACCCTACATCCAGTTCCCAGTCAACTCTTAACACAAGAGTGACTCCCAATTCACTATCTTTCAAATTCAGTTTACAAATTACAATCAACTCAACAGAAGAACCAGTAAAAAGTAAACTAATTAAAAAGACAATCACCTCCTTAGAAACCCACTAAGGATGAACACCTTTCTAGAATCCCACTAGGGATAAACATCTCCTTTGAACAAATCAAAGGATGAAAACACCTCCTTAGAATCTCACTAAGGATGAACACTTCCCTAGAATCACACTAGGGATGAAAACCTCCTTTGAACAAATCAAACGATGAAAACACCTCCTTAGAATCTCACTAAGGATGAACACCTCCCTAGAATCACACTAGGGATGAAAAGTACCTCATTTGTCACCAATACACAAAGGATGAAGGTAATAAAAATAAGAACAGTCACACCTGAGTAATGGAAACAACAAATTGTAGAAGCTTGTAGAATGTCAATCTTCAAGAATAAGTATGATTAACAATGAGAGCACAGAAGACAGTAGAGAAGATGGTTTTCTCAGAAGGTGTAAAATTTCTTTGTTGTCTTGCCCAGAATTCTTTTCTCAAAACTGATTGAATATTAATTGTATTTTCGAATTCTGTAATTGTGTGTTTTTTATTTTTCATCAAAACTTAATTAAATAGAAAAATAGCATCAGAAAATGGCCCTTGGACATTAATATTTTTGTGAATAAAAATCAGGATATATTCAAAAATATTTATTCTTCAAAACAGATATATTTTTCAAATTTGAATTTCCATAATTGATTATGTTACTAGTATAATCAATTATGACAGAGAAAATCATTTTTCCATTTC